AAAAACGATCAGATTTTATTGAGATGATCGTAATAGTTTGCATTTATATGCTGAGCAAGTTACATAAGTGAATTATTTCATCTCTTCCTCACAGCTCCCTAATGAGGTGGAGAATCTTACTATCCCCATTCACACAGAAGGAAACTAAGGGACAGCAAGGTCATTTTGGTTGCCTGGGGTCTCACAACTAATTAGCATTAGAGCCAGGATGTACACTCAGGCACTTCTCTTAACCACAAGTTTTGGCCCATCCAGATCTCCTCTTTTCCCAACGCCGAATACAGCAGCCCCATTTCTTCTGCATCTGTTAAAGCATCTAGTAGACTAATACACAGAGTGTGCTGTCAGTATTTTTTAACAGTTCATGTTTTACAGATATGGAAAATAAGACAAAGAAAATAAGTGATTTGCTATTTTTTTTACAATACATTGGCAGCCCATACTAGATGGAAGCCCAAGTTCTCTCTGTTCTTTGCAATATAACAGGCAGATCATGAACCCACTGTGATAAATCACATAGATTGTTCTTTTCTATACTCAATCTGTTAACGAAATTTACCATGGAGCTTAATTCATTCAGTAAATATTTATTGAGCAGGAAGACCTGCTTCATTTCGGCTACTGTCCAAACAGCAGTGAGAAAAAGTTCTTATGAAGCTTATATTCTAGAGAAGTCAGAGAGACAATAAATAAACTCAAAAAAGTAAACAAGACCATGATAAGTGCTTTTAAGAAAATATGTTCATAATACAAAGGGCAGCCATGGGAGAAAGGTCTCCCTGGATTGATACTCTGAGCACATATTTTAATTAGCAAGATCTAAATTACAAGGAAGAGCTAGAGTAAGCAAGTATTCCAGACAGGAGGAGCATTAGTGCTATCATTCACCTTTCCATGAACAATAGCAAATTATAAGGAATTCAGTGTTGTTTTTGTTGCAAATTAACATCAAGAAATTTTTATATGAGAAGTAACAAATATTTTCTTATTCTCATTCAAAGCTCTGAACAGTCTATAAATATACTGAAAAAAATTTATAGGCTTAGGAAAGTATTTGGAATGTTGAAGGAACAAAGAGAAACCAGTATGCTGAGCTGAGGGACTAGCAGTAGGGAAGGAAGTGATGGATGGGAGAAAAGGAGATTGCACCAGTGTAGGACTCTATTTGAGTCTGGGTTCTGCTATAGGTTGTAAGGAACCAGTTGGTGTTTTTAAGCATAAGAGTGAGATGCTTTGGTTTACAATTTGAAAAACTCACTCAAGCTGCTATTAGAGAGTGGGTTATAAAGGGGAAGGAAGGAAGCAGAGACTGTTAAAGAGTTATTATGTAGAAATGATAATGGCTTAGACTAAGGTGGTAGCTAGCAGTGCGCTCTTTTGACATGCCAGACATCTTATTAGGTAAGAGGATGCAGAGATGAACAATATAAACCCCTCTCCTTATGGAACACAATGATAACCTGAAGGAGTCTGAGAAAGAATGTCGTAGTGTTTAGTTATATTGAATGAGTTTGACCAGGCCTGTACAAGGAAGGGATTAGGAAAGAAGGTCTAGGCAAAGATCTTAGCTTGTACTAAGCATGAGTGAATGTGACATATTTAAAAAAATTACACATTGGGCTTATATTGTTAGAATGAAGGTTATACCTAAAGCCCTAGCAGGAGTAAAGGCTAAAAAAGTAGATCAAGGCACAAAAGGTATTTGATTGCCATCCTAATGAATTTAAACTCCATCCTAATGCAAGATAACAGCAGGATCAAGTGTATGTTTTTCTAAAAATTACCCTAGCACTTGAACTAGAAGCCAAGAGACTAATAAAATATTGAAGTATTTTAGGTAAGGAATGATCATAATAATATTTAGTCTGTAATTTTATATGTATTTCTTGTCTTGTTCTCAAACATCATTAAAGCTGAAGTAGAAAAGGGGAATTTAAAATGTCACTTGAATCAAATAAAATGATGAGATTCTTATGGTTCCTGTCCCAGGTTGTTTTGTGTTCTCCTGGAAGCAAGCTCTATGATGGAGATTAATGATCAAGAGGTTTATTGGGGAGCATTCTTGAGGCCACTACCTGTGACAGGGAAGGGAAGGATGTAAGATGGGGCAGAGAGAAGCTGGGCTGCTATGCAGTCTGAAAAAGGCCCAGCTGACCCCCATAGTGTTTGTTCATTCTATAAATATTACTCACTACCTGCCCTTTGCTTGGCAGTATGTGAAGCCCTCTGGATGATAGAAAATAAGAGTTAGGTCAGGCTTGATAGAGAACTAAACAGAAGAACGCCCTGATTAGAAGAAACCTTTAATGAATATAGCAAAGAACTCTTGGAATGGTCATTTGGCAGAAGATGAAGATTTTATATGCATTGTCTTTAATTTTATATAATAATGGCAATATTTATTGAACACTTGATTTGGGCTGAGTGCGTTATTGAGTTCCTTGTGTCTATTAACCCATTTAACCCTAATCCTTTGAGATTTTATAGTTGATGAAACTGAGATGCACAGCATCAGTAAGTTGCCAGAGATCTCACAGCGACTTAGTATCTGGCTGGGAAACAGTCCATAATAATATGGTGATGTCACCCTATGCTATACAGCTTCCGCATATTCGGAAATAACTTTTAAGAAAGTCACTTTTTCCAATTAAGTGACAAAGAAAATGTATTATTTGATAATGATTTTTTTAGTAAAGATGACTTCATGAGCTGTTTCTAATTATATGCTTTATATAAACAAAATTGAATTTAAAATTAGAATGTGATTCATTCTTTCAAATTGTCATATTCTCTATAATTGACAACTGCTTTCTACTTTTTTTTTTTTTTGCCTTTTGGACTAAATCTACACTTTTGTTCATTCTTTTTTATATTTATGAACTATACCCAAATGAGCTCAGTACACTAAAAACAAAATTTTGTTCCTTTGTTATGAGAAAGGCTATCGAAATTATGTCTATTTAATGCGACTTTTTTGCTTTGGAAGTTTATCATATATTCTGGAAATGAGGGCAAAATAAATAAAATCTCTTGCTTACTTTATGATAATAATAAAAAAACATGGCAAACAAACATAATAAAAAGAATTATTTCTCATTTCCAGTTTTTCTCCTTGGTGAGTTCATCAGCCTAATGCTTGGCTTTGTTAACTTGTCTTATGGGTCTCTAACAGTGAACTATGTATTTCAGGTTTTATAAACATCTCTGCCCCCAAGCAGCAATTTAATAATGTGAATCTATACTATGCCAAGATTATTGTTTTATCATTTTCCTCAGTTTATTTTATGTGCTTGCCTTATAGTTCTGTAATTTATTCACATAACTTTGTTATATATCAGAATGACTGGTAAAAGCAGATCTTCAGTTTTATGTTTTTAAAAGCATATATTTTTTATAGCATAGTTTATATATGTCTGTAATAGTTAATACATATCTGTAAATATATATAGGATATATATTTACAGATATGTTAATTTATTCATCTGCTCCTCCTGGAACATTCTAGTGGGGAGAGAAAGATGATAAATAACTAAAATATATAGTGTATCAAAAGTATTGGGAGTGGGGGAGAGAGTAATAAAGTTCCAGAAAGAGAAGAGAGGGCCCTGTGATGGCTAAGAGTGGAAACAGTTTAAAATAGGGTAAAGGAACACCTCATTGGTGAGCCAAGACTAAAGGTTGTGAGCAAGTGAGCCACCTGTGCATTTGTCTAGGCTTAAAATTGTTGGGCATTTAAATCTTAATATAAATGTGGGTAGATTAATTTTGTAAAGTTTCTGTGTTGTTATTTATATGCTAATATATTTTCAGTAAATCACATGTTAAAGGGCTTTGTAAAATGCAGTATATTTGCCAAACAAATGTATGCTATTTTTATGTCTAGTTGACATTTTTCTGACATGTGGGACCAATTTTGATTTGTTTAGGATAAGGAAGCTTGTTGAAGGTGAAGAGGAATATATACTTCTGTTATTTAATATTTTCCTTTAAAACCTTATAAAGAGCTATCTAAACAATACAAGTATACAGTTTGTTTACATATAAGAACCTTTTGATTTGGTCAGAATAAATTTTGAGAAAATTTATCGTACTTCATGAAAACATTTTAAATTCTAATCAGATGTTCAATTACTTCTTAGATGAGAAAGAAGAGGGTATCTTGGGAAGCATACTACTACCTAGTTTTCAGATAGCTATGCTTACCTCTGAGGATCACATTAATCGTAAATATGCTTTTAAGGTAAGGAAATAGCCATACTTTTTTATTCTGTATTTGAATTTTGCCTTGATTTAAAAATAGATTATTATAAAGATATTTCACTTAGTCATTTTTATATTTAAAATGAGTAAGAGCATGTCCCTTTAATTAGGAAGCACATGCTCAAATATTGAAGGACCAAGTGTCTCTATGTCTGTACTTTCACATGGTTCAAGATAAAGCAAATACATTAAAATTCTAATAATTGGTAAATAGAGCTGTAGGTATCCTGGTGATCATTTTACTATTTTTTAAAGGTTACCATATAAATGAATTTTTTTCATAATAACTTTCTTTGACATAATATATGTACATTTATAATCATATAGAATATTTGCAAAGATTTTGAGGGTCTAAGTACATTATGAACATCAGGTACTTTTGAGAGAATATTGAAGTTAAGATGTAAATGTTATTATTAATTCGAAGCAGACCTGAACGTCTACCCCTCCCCTGACTATCTCTGTTGTATGCTGGTTTGTGGAACACCCTCAAGTTAGAGGCCACCTTAAGGCTGAGTTGGCTATTATTTGTTTTCGAAAACCATGCTTCATTCTTTGCTTTAGGATATGTGGCTGAAGTAAACTTCAGAGGTCACCTATTTTTTTTTTAAAGTCAGTTTTAAATTAAGAACTCTGAAGGATTTAATGTAAATTTTTTATTTAAAGGAAAGTGGGGGGGAGAATAAGGCTAATATGGTGTTATTTGACAATGAAAATGTTTATACCATTATCAAATTGATTTCATTTTTAATTCTCACTCACTTTTAAAGAATACTCAGGACTGCATCTGATTTACAACTGTGCTAATTAACATGTTACATTTCTAGCTATGGAAGAAAAAAGAGCGGGAAAGGTTATCAGGGTGGTGGGGGTGATGGATGGGCTCAATGTGAAGGTAACATCTAAATAAAGACCTGGGTGTGGGAGGGGAATAGCTTCACATTGCAATAAATTTTGTTAACAGTGTGAACCAGAGAAACGATTAAATATTTTAAGATGTTAAATGAGAAAATTTAATGTAGATAACTAAAATAATAACTTTATAAAGTATACATATAGAGCTATGTGATACTAACACTTATTTAGTTGTGTGTTTAAAATTTTGTTTGCTCATCAATTTGGCAAATGTTTCTTGAATTTATATTATTCATAAGACATTCTGCTGGGTTCTTAGACTCTTAAAAAACAATACTGGAATGTTAAGATAGCAATAAAACAACCATGCATATTAAGTACATTTTCTCTGTAATTATTGATTTAATTTTATCTGTAACAAGGATAGTAATTTCTGTTTCAAATTCTCTCTTCTTCGATGTTGTTTCCTCTGAATTTATGAGCCAATTTTACTACTAAGTCTGTTGACATTGATGCTACTGTTTTTCACAATGGTAAGTAGAAATTCATAGACATTGTTGAATGCAATTGTGGAACATAAAGCTAGACAGGGAAGTTTACCATCATCTAGTAAATATTTCCATTTGACAGATGGCAAGCATGAGTGTGGCTTGTTAGTATCTGAGTCATGGCTACAACTGAATCTGCTTAGCAACAACCATTGTTCCTTCCATTGATCACAAATATGGGCAGTGGTCTTTATTCATTTCTCCAAAACGCCACTTAGTGAGTCCAGTGACGCTTTTAATCATTTTAACATGTGGTTTTAATCATTTTAACAACATGTAGCATTTGAGCTGTTTCTTTTGAGTTGTTTGCATAGATAGCTTTATATCTTTTACATGTTCAGTGAGATTTGTTGGTTTTGTAGTTATTTTGGTCACTGTTTGTTTATTGAATTTATTTATGTCCTGATTCTTTATGAAAAAAAAAAATTGAAGAAACGAATTTAACATTGCAGATAAAGCAGATAGTTAAGATCTGGGAGTAAAGTGTGTGGCTCCAGATTTATTCTTATCACCTTTTATATTTAGCAGAGTGACTACATACTTAGTATTCTTCCCTTTACCTCATTCTGAAATAGTCTTGTTTATTTTTCCTAGTCTTTCACTGTCTAATAGGAAACTGTCACGGGCATTTTTATTTTTATTTTATTAAATTTATTGGGGTAACATTGGTTAATAAAATTATATAGGTTTCAAGTATACATTTCTATAATACATTATCTGTATATTGAATCATGTGTTCACCACCCAATGCCAGGTCTCCTAGCATCCCCATGTATTTGACCCCCTTTACCCTCTTCTTCCTCCCACTTGACATTTTTTTTCCCACCTAGACATTTTTAAGCGGAAATTAAGAATGTATCCTCAGCCTTTCGCGCCCCCGGCCCCCGCCCCCCACTATTTTGACGCAGCTACTAATGCAGTCCATCTTTGCCAGGTCAGCCTGTGGATTAAGCTGAGGGCTCAGTGCTCACACCTTGGGTAGCAGTCTCATCAGCCTTTCTTCATTTTGTTTCCTTCGGTTTCTCTGAAATAGAGACAGGTTGAACCACCATAAAGAACGTACTTCTCACTTTTAAATTAAGTGTCTGTAAGGATTAGATAAATGCTTTTTAGTAGCAGCACCTTTTGAGGACTAAAGAATGACTAACAGAAGGGGGAAAGACTATATAATTCATACATTTCAATTAATTTTGTTTCTGATTGCTCTGGAATATTCTTGAATAAAGTGGTATGAATTACAGTAAATGGAAATTGCTAGGGATTTGTACATGGGACATGCACAACTAAGTGTTTTGTTTTTTTACCTCCCTTCCTTCCCATTCACTTTTTTTTAATTTAAAAAAAAAACCCGTAAAGAGAAAAAAATTAATATTTATATATTTTTCAAGATTGAATTATTTTTTTGCAAGTCATTCATTTCTATATCCATATATAAAACAGACCTACTTTTTTGAAATTCGATAGTAATGATCTGTGCAGAGACACACTTAACTTCTTTCTTTTTCTTTTGCAGATTCCATATTCCTATTTAAAATGATCGTGTTATTTTCAATCAGGCAGCACATCCAAACATGCGGACCTATTATTTCTGCACTGATACAGGGAAGGAGATGGAATTGTGGATGAAAGCCATGTTAGATGCTGCCCTGGTACAGACAGAACCTGTGAAAAGGTAAAGGCTTGTAAGGAAAATAATGGTGATTTCCACTTACATTTTATTCCATGCCTTTCAAGTATATCATTATCATAGTACATATCATTTTAGTAGTCATGACATGATATACCGTTAGTTAGTTTGAAATACTGCCTGCATTTTTGTTCCACCTTTCCTCTCTATTCATTTTCACCTATCAGTGTACTGAGGTGAATCCAGAATCTTAACATTCAAACTGAATATTCTTTCTTCTTACAGAATTACATTTAATTTCCGGTAAGTACGTTTTTAATTATTATCTTAAAACTACACAAGATAGTGTTATTTAAGGTCCTAAATCTTAAAAGAATTTATATTTATGAAGTTAATTTTATTGAATATTTTTAGTATGTTGTATATTTTTGAAGTTTAATAAATCAAAATAAAATGTTGTGATGTTTTATTTCTTCATCATTTCTTGGTTAATTATGATTATTTTATGATGAATGTTTCCAAAAAATAATTCATCGAGCATTTAGATTATTTCTAAATATATCTACTTCTTGAATTCTACCCTCTTCCTTTTGAAACTCTAGTATTTGATTCCTTGATAAATATGTACTGTTAAATTTGATCTATATGATTTTTTCCCCACTTGAACATATGAATCATTTAAATATTCAACTGTATTAAGAACTGGTAAGAACTGTTTCTAAAACTATGTAAATAGCTGCTGAATAATGTGCTTTAAAAATATTTTATGTGTTTCTATAATTTGAAGAAAGATTTATGATAGTTAATTTTTTTTCTAATCAGCAGTAATTGAGCACATGTCTTATATCAGTGAGATGCAAACTTGCAAGTCTGGCTTTTTTTTTTTTGGTCTCAAGAAACTAGGGGATTATTAAAATGTAAATCTTCAGTCTTTTTTTAGTGTACACGTAAAGTCTTATGACATTGATTAAAAGGCTTAAGTTGATGCTATTTATTTCTGTTTATTTTTCAAAATATCAAGTCCAAAGCAACTTAAGCAATCACAAGTAACTAACTAAGCTAGAAGAAAGTATGGAGAAAAAAGAAGGCTCAGGATTGAAGTCTAAGATAGCTATTTTCAAGAAAAACAAACAAAAAGACAGACAGACATACAGACCACCTCAACCATATATATATTCTAGGTTGAGAGCTAATAAAAGGGAAAAATGGTCTTGGAATTCCATGTGTGAAAATGACCTGAATGGATATAACAATGAAATGATTAGCACTGATTGCTAGAGAAAATATGTTGGTGAAAAGAATTAATTAAAAATCTTAAAGTAATTTTAACTTCAAAGTAAAATTTTTAGGGAATTAGTTAGAATACAGATATCAATATAATAATTAAAATATTTGATTTCTCAATGATTTCTGTATTGTATGTTGTACTTATCTCAGAATTTCAACTTACATTTTCTTTTCTTGTACTTTCTGCTCTAAAAACTAGTAATTACTCATAATTTAGGATGATAAAGACAACAGTCAATTTTTTGATTTAACTTCTGACAGCCTATTAATTGATAATGTGTCCATAACAATTTTTAGTCAGTTGTGTCGAAGTAATTTTCTCAGCCAGGAATTACTGAATACCACCACTGTGCCCGGACTGGTGTCAGCCGCTATTGTTATCCTGTAGAAATTACTTTTTTTATTCTACTTCCAGCTATTGCATTTTTATCCTGCCCTATTAATCTTGACTATTCAAATTGAAGGTATCTAATTATTGTACTATATGGCCAGAATACTTATAAATATTTATCAAGGCATGTCACCTAAAAAATAAAACATCCAGTTTTTAACTAGTTCATTTCTTTTAAATTTATAAAGTCTTTAACCTATGAACTACAATAAAATAATTTCCTAGAATGCAGATCATTGTTTGCATAAAACAGTCTAAGTATAATATACATTCTCTGAATAATTTCCATCTCCAGGCTCACTATTTTCATTTTCTATATTTCCATGTGTCTTCTGTACTAACTTAAATGTCACTTTTAAAAATTAGATCACAGGTTTCATATTATGCTATTTTAGCATACATTTCTGAATTGCTTTTATTCCACTTAGAGAAAAGTCAACATGTATTGTTTTTAATTATATTTACTAAATGATAAATTTGGGGAAAAAATAAAGAGGAAAAAAAGGCAATGCAGTCCTAATTGAAAATACAGCTTTAGATAGACTAGAAGTAACTAAAAAATCTTTCAGATATTTGATATTCCTCTTCTCTTTCCAAATTTAGCTATGATAAATGCACTTTTGAGTGTAAGTCTTTTCTCTCTGACTTTTATCTTTCAAGGGAAAGGAGCTCCATAGCATATCTTTGCACACTTTCCCAATATCTAATATTGCTCACAATCTAGACTAAATATATGGATAGTTTATCACTTTACTCCAAGAAAAAGTCACATTTCATTTTTTTTCTCACTGATCTTATTCCAAACTGTCTATCTATAGCTATAGATGTATGGATTATGTATTTTCTATATACATCACTGAAATTGGCAGCGATGATACACTTAAGATCCAAAAGGAACATTATTATGTATTGAAATTTGCTCATTTCCTAAGAGGCTTCCCAGCATGGCTTGATCTTGGCAGTTTAATGCAGGTTCAGACACTCCGCTTGGTCTTGTCAGAACCTGGAAGCGATTGGTGTCAAAGCTTCTCATCAAAAAGACCTAGATATAGCAACTGCAGTTGTGAGCAGTAAAACTGTCCAGTGATCCAGACACACACTGTTAAACAGTACATTCTTCTGATGAGAGATGGACATGGGATGCCAGATTCTAATCTAAGATTGCTTAGTGAGATGGAGTGAGAATGGTAATAAAGTCTGTGGCAGCGACTGATTCACTCATCCGGACTCACATCAACCTGTAACCTTGGTGCTACAGTCATTCCTATTTACTATAAAGGAGGTTGAAGCATGGTAAATTTATATACCTTGCCCAAAGACAGATATAGCTAAGTCAATCTGGAAGCTGAATATGTGCATTCTGGCTCTAGGAGTTCTTGGCTGAAACTCGGGTCTTCCTGAATACAGTCATAAGGTTCAGATCTTTGATAGGACCAGACTGTAATTTTCTGGTGCAGCCATTTCTACAAACCAGATTCATGTTTGTCTCATGATGCATTAGCCTCTCCAGCTGGAAGCCATTTTGTTTATTTCAAATGACTAAGTGCTGTGGTCCTCTTAAGTGTGGATTTTGTGGTTCCACCGTCAAAGGACAGTCTTTTTTACTTTATTTCCAGATTTCTAATGGTGGGGATGCTCATCACTTTTTACCCAGTGCTTTACATACTGTATGGTATTTTTTACCCTTTCTATTCAGACATTCTGGTGTTGTGCTTCAATTTTTATACCACAACATTGGGGATTTGTGCAGGTTTGTCCTCTGAGACCCTTTCAGTTTTTTTTGTAAAGTCAAAGGCAATTGTACATTTTTCCTAGATTGAATCCCAGAAATAACATGCATTATTTCATCCAATTTACTATGATTTTATTCTCTGATTTCAGAGTGGACAAGATTACATCTGAAAATGCACCAGCTAAAGAAATGAATAACTTTCCCAACCATAGAGTGCTAATTAAACCAGAGGTCCAAAATAACCAGAAAAACAAGGAAATAAGCAAAAATGAAGAAAAAAAGGCATTAGAAGCTGAAAAATATGGATTTCAGAAGGATGGTCAAGAAAGACCTTTAACAAAAATTAATAGTGTAAAGTTGAATTCTGTGCCATCTGAATATGACAATGGGTCAACATGCTTGGCTCAAACTGGACACTACAGGCCAATCAGTGTGAATAGTTCAGAGAACAAAACAGTTAATGTTAGCCTGGCAGATCTTAGAGGTGGAAATCACCCAAATATAGGGCCTGTACACACAGAGGCTGATCGAGTAATACAGAGAACCAATTCAATGCAACAGTTGGAACAGTGGATTAAAATCCAGAAGGGGAGGGGTCATGAAGAGGAAACCAGGGGGTAAGTATCTTGTTACATGTTATGAACCCAGGTTTCTTTCATGCTTTGTTCATGGAAATTGGTTTCTGAGATGCCAACTTAAAGTAATCTAAATTGCAATTTAGATATTATAGTTTTATTACTGTATCTTTTTTTTTTCCATAGTAATCAAATATAATTGTTTTTTTCTCTATCACCCATTGTTCTGTCACCCAGCTTCACTAATAATGGCCAAGAGTCATTCATTCTTCCTTAGCCCAGGGCAAGAAAAGGCTTAGGTTGTGGGTAGAGATCTTGTTTGTTTGTGATGAGGAAGACCTATCCCTACCCCTTTCTTTCCTCCCTCTCTCCCTCCCTCCCTAGTCTGTCTTCTATCAGTAATTTCTGCAACTTCATGCAGTGAGTGCAAAGATCTCCTGAGACAAGTATTTGGAGACAATAAAGGCTTAGGTTCTCTAGTTCTTTGTCTCATTCCCTGGCTTTCTTAACTCATAATGCCTGTGACGAGGTATTATGTTTATTCATCTAAGCATGTATTTATTTATGTGCACACACTTATTTTTCATATATTTATTGTATAACTACTCTCTGCTAATCATGGCGCCAGAAAGTAATATAATGAAAAGATGTAGTCCAGATTTCTCACAGAGATTCCTATCTAGGAGAAGATTAAACAAGTATGGGACATTGTGACAAATACAGTGAAAGAAGAACAGAATGCTATAAGAACATGTTTCGGGGACAACCAACCACAGATCTATGGGTTCAGGAAAACCTTTCTAGAGGAAGTGAATACACTTGAGATATAAAGGATGGTATGCTTATCTTGGTTTAGATGTGCAGAACTCCATAGTTGATAGAGAGCAGGGAAAGGAATCCAAGGACATCCAGTATGACTTGGGTACAACTGCTGTAATGCTGGATGAGAAACAGGCTGGAGAGATAAACTAGAAGAGATGTATTCAGATTGGTGTTTCAGAAAGATCACACTGGCTGTAGAATCTGGAGAATGAATTGGAGAAAGTTCAAAAATTATCAGAGTATGTAAAATGAGGAGAGGAATAGAATGTATTTAAGATAGAACTGACAAATCTAGTTGAGTGCTTGGATGTGCTTGATTGCAAACTAGTCTCAGTCAGGTTCAGTCAAGTCTAGTTTGAGTGATCGGGGGAAATCAAGAGCTGTCTAGTGCCTTTTATTGCATAGGAAAGATTTGAGAAGAGAGAACGTAATGAATGATTGGACAAGCTAAATTTGAGGCGCCAATAGTCTGTATCTCCAAAGAGAGATCTGGACTTGAGTTTGCAGCATCCTCATTATATCACAAGTATTTAAAGGTAAGGATGAGAATAGATAAATTCATTTAGTGATAGGCTGGATTAAAATAAAAATTCTAAGGGAAAACCTGAAAGAACATTTATAGTTAAGAAAAAAAGGAATTGTAGCAGGGGGCAGAAAATGTAAAGGAGACCAAAATAAAAGCCAAAGAAAATGGAGGAAAAGCCACTTATGAATGAGAAAAGATGTTCTGTCATTAGGAGTTTGACATGCAAATTTTAAAAAGTTCTTTAATGCACTAGTGTACATACATAAAAGTGAACTGAAAAGTTATTGTAACTCTTACCTTTCAGTAATAGAAAACCAAAAAACAATGATGTTAATAATGTTTTGATTAAATAAAGATTTAACTTAATAACAAAATTCTAAGGAATAGGGAAATTCTTCCACTTTGCTTAGTTATCACTCAGCCTCTCTTTCAGCAGTGCAGCTCAAAAGCCTGGGTACACTCGGCTTCATCTTTTGTTATCTCATTCTCCTGTGTTTTGTTGTTCAATTCCGTATTCTCTTCTCCATCCTCAGTGCTCACTTTTCAATTTTCCTAAGGGATAATTTTGAGAAATATTTGCTATTTCAAAAATAAAATTTCATTAGACAGAAGAGAAGCCAAAATGAAAGGATCTTTGGAAATACTTATTAAAGCAGTAATTATTTTCAGAGAAACATAATAAAAATCCCAGCCAGAAGATTGCTGAATCTGTACCCAGCAAGTTAAATTACACTTCCTAATGGATCCGTTTTATTAAAGTAAAATCATACTTTAGTAAGGTTGGAAGTATATAAAGGGATTCAACAAATAGTGGAAGTTAGTTTTTAAATTGTTGTGCCTAAATATTAGTTTCCAAGTACTTTTAGGTCCCTTGATGGGTGTAATTAACACACATAAAGGCTTTCTGGAACTTTTCCTTTTGAACACAGACCTGCAGCATCTGAAGGCTGGTCTTAGGTTGTTTTTGAGCTCAAGGCTTCTCTGTGTTGCTCCACCAACTCTGAGTTCACTGGCTACAGTTCAGTTTGGATCATTGAAATATATCATCTACATTATTATATAAACTTCATACTGAAAAAAAATAGTAGTGATGTTTTATAATGAACTAATTTTTATTGGTGGAAAGAAACATAGTGGCAATTTGTGGTATAATTCATTTTGTAAAACTTTCTGAAAGACTTGCTTTTATTATTAAAGTTCTGATTTCTAGAAAGAAAAGAGGTTTAATATATAGTCAAAGAGTAGACCCCTGCATCTGTGACCAGAGCTTTAAAATTGCTTTGTGAGTGACAGGCACTGTTAAGATGCATGGTGCCTTAAGCCATTGTTCTGCATGACAGAATCACAGGGACTGTGTTTTCATGGTGCTTGACAGGCAGCTGCTGGTAAATGGAGCGCTAAACCTGATAAAGGAGCTTACAGTGTTCATTTCTTAAGCTTTCACTTAAAAGTAAATCACACTTTTGTTTAATTTAAATTTCTTTGCAGAAGACCACTGAAGGAAACTAGTTTTGGGGGGCAGTGGGAGTGGGGGGGCAGGTCTCAAAATGCTAGAAAGTATATGGGATAAAAATAAACTTACTTGATAAATAACCTAATTTTCAATTAAAATTCCCCAAAAGTGTTTTCAAGGATGGCAGAAGAGCCTTTTAAACTTTGTAGTCATTAATTAATCAAGCTTAGTAGAAAAACAGCCTGTGTTAATGATCATAGGATGAGTTTACAGTTCAAATTCAATATACATTTTAATAACAAGGTCCTGCTCACTTATTTCCAAATGAGATATAAAGTTAATATCGTTTATATTTCCAGGATTTGCTTTTGTGATAATAGTTCAGTGCCTAATTCAGAGCCTTTTGCATACTGAGGTCAGTTATTTCTTAAATTTATGAATGATCAAATAAACCAAGGTATGTTGGAGTAAATTGCTTTAGTACTAGGGCAGAATTTTTTAGATGGAATCAACTTCCCCTGGCGAACAAACTTCCTAAGCAAATACCATGGGGTTGCCAACTCTGATCTTATTCCATTTCTGGCTTTCATGTTAACAGAAAAGATGGAGATAGGGAGGGAGATCAAGCAGAGGAAAAATGGGAAACATACATGGAAGGAAAGCAGCAAAGAATTGAACTCTGTGCTAGTTTCATCAGAGTACTTTTCTCCATGACTTCAGCCTCAAAGTCATCAGATAAGTGGTTCTTGTCTAGAAGGGGTTTGTTCAGTTTTGAGCAAGTGTGTTTTGAGTAGAGGCCCTTAAAAGCTGAAGAATAACCAGCATGATGAAAGAAATTTAGTTTTTAGGTGGAAAGTTTGAAGGAATTGAAAGTGTTTTTGAATATAGACCAAGACGTGGGATTTTAGAGCTATAACATAATTTCATGATCAGATCATCTTGTAGATGAGAAAAATCCCAAAAAGTGTCAGTTGGCCAGGTTTTCATAGCATGTGAAGAGCTTTAGTTATGCCCTTCGTGATTTGGGGGTATCTTTTTATTTTTAATTAAATCATTACGATAGAAAAGGTTTTTTCTTTAATAATTTCCATACTTCTGCAAATTTTTAAAAATGGATTACTTTTTCATGAAATCTAAAAGTCTGGGAATCATTGGCATGAGGAAGAGTGCTGCTGCTTAAGGAAGTAAGAGGCCTGCACTCTAGTCCTAGCTGCCACTAACTCTTGCATAATCTCGTAGTCTTTTCCCACCCTGTCCTCTCCACCTCTCCTCCTCCCCTCCCCCAAAAAACTTCTCTCCCCCTTCCCTCCCTCCCTCCCTCCTTCTCTCTCTCTCTCTCTCTCTCTCTCTCTCTCTCTCTCTCACACACACACACACACACACACACACATTTTCTTAGTCCCAGAAGATATAAATAATTCATCTAAAGTCTCCATATTTAGTAGAAAAGGAAGAAACAAAACTTGGCTCTCCTGAGTTTTGATCAGCTGCTTTTTCCTATTTTCTCCTGCATTTCTATATTTTTCACAGCCTTATCCCCTCTTTGAGCGTTTTAAACCAGGAGTCCCCAACCCCCAGGCCACAGACGAGTACTGGGGTGAGCAACAGATGAGCGAGAGAAGCTGCATCTGTTTTTGCAGCTGCTCTCCAGTGCGAGCATCACCTCCTCAGCTCCACCTTAGCTCATCATACATAGACACACTGGCGTCTGGTACCAAAAAGGTTGGGGACCACTGCTTTAAACCACAAAAAAGGTGTAATTAATATGAGACTTTCTCTGGATTGTGGAATGGCAACCCAATTTTACTTCCCCAGTAGACAAATTATGCAAGGGTTTTTATTACTACCATGCCTCATAGCCCAGGATACATACACCCAATTCATTACACCGTATCACAGTGAAATCTTTGTTATTGACAACAAGTCTTTGGGTCAAAAGAGAGCTCTGACATTCAGGTTATCAGCCAAGGATTCCCAGATTTTTAAAGAGCATGGTCAGGTAATTTATACATCAAGTTAGAGGAGGGATCCCTTCTCGTCCATGTAATAACCAATGTGTTTCACATTTTAACACCCAGTAGGCAGCAAAATATTGTGTAATTATGCATGTACAATTCCAAAATGTACTCTATGGTGAAAATATAGTAAGCAAGAGAGAGGTGTTAATGAAACATTGAAGAAAGAGGTCAGGAAATCTGAGTTTATGGGGTTCCAATTCTCACATGTTTGGTTCATTGAATTACATTTGACATTATGGATACATAATAGCATATTATGTATTAGAGTATAAATTTATGCCAGTGGAGGTGGTAGCATAAATGAATACCTGTAATTCAATATTTTCTTAAATCTAGATTTTATTATGGTTATTATGAAAAGGTTGTGTTTGCATTTAGAATTTGAATTGTAATTATATCTTTACCTACCTCGAACGATAATGGGGAAACAAATGCTAACTTTATTTAGAAATTTTAACTGACTTTTAAAAATCCTTTACATATAATGAATCCGACCTAGCATGAGATAAGCACAAGGATTTTTTGTTATATTTAATGGAGTGTTTTTATCCACATGTCTTTTTCTTTTTTTAATTGTAAACTGAAATTTTATTCTTTCATTTTAGAAAACTGAAATGGCCTGTGTTTAGTAATATGCTATTATATACCCATAATTCAAAAAATTTTTAAGAACTTTATTTTAGATGCTTAATGCACATGAGGAATTTTTAGATTGCTTTTAAAAGCCCCCCCAAAATACCGATACATTCATGAGATAGAATTTTAATTTCTATGCCAGAAACATTTTAAAATTCCTGAAATTTGCAGTTTTATATCTGAAATGTTGTCAGGTTTAAATATTTTGTCTTTAAATTTCGAGCTTTAGCTTCAAGTAATTCTTATTTTTCAAGTTAAGAAAAGTTATCAAGGAAAGTTATTTCTCCAAACCACAAATATACCAATGTACTTCTTCCCATAAATTGTCATGCTTTCTGAAGGAAGTGGTACAGTGGAGTAGTCGCAGAGAACTGCAGTAGTTCACTTCCTGTCTTCTTGCCCTGTGGGCATAGCATAAAAACTTCAGTGTTACATCCACACAGAGATGCTATGCGGTTTAACTGTTCTTGTGAGATACATGAAAATGAGATTCTTTGAGTTTGTTTATATAAAAACAAACGGGATATGGAGACAGACTTGGGATTTGATCTTGAATATTCTTAGTTCTAAAAGAAGTATAATAAATATTTTTTCCTCTTTAAGCCAAACTGTACATTGTATGGAATTAATACTCTTTTATGTAAGTGACATAGATGCTATTTACTTAATGTATATACTCCATCAAATTGAGTTTCATAAAAAGATTAAAATCTGTTTACTAATAATTTATGCCTTGTATAATTTTTAATATTTTGATCTCTAAAAATAAATTCCTAATATATATTTTACTTACCAGAAGGAAAAAGATATAATTTAGAATCCAGAAAGCACCTTTCCTTCATTTTTACATTGATTTCAATTCTTTCATTTTAGAGTAATTTCTTATCAAACATTACCAAGAAATATGCCAAGCCACAGAGCCCAGATTGTGGCCCGCTATCCTGAAGGTTATAGAACACTCCCAAGAAACAGCAAGACCAGGCCTGAAAGCATCTGCAGTGTGGCCCCTTCCACTCATGATAAAACAGTAGGACCTGGAGCAGAAGAGAAACGAAGATCAATGAGAGATGACACAATGTGGCAGCTCTACGAATGGCAGCAGCGTCAGTTTTATAATAAACAGAGCACCCTCCCTCGTCACGGCACACTGACCAGTCCTAAAACCATGGTTAATATTTCTGACCAGACAATGCACTCTATTCCCACATCACCCTCCCATGGGTCAATAGCTGCTTATCAGGGATACTCCCCTCAACGAACCTACAGATCAGAAGTGTCTTCACCAATTCAGAGAGGAGATGTGACAATAGACCGCAGGCACAGGACCCATCACCCTAAGGTAAAATGTCTGCTAATCTTGTGTTAACTACTACTATGTGGGTGCTATGTTTTATTTCTAGTGCACTATTCTTTTAAATGTGAGAGACAAGAAAATAGGCAGGAGAGGTAAGCAAGGCAGCTCTTTTTTTTGTTTTAAAAATTAAGGAAGAGTATTTTGCAATGCCCAAATCTCATGTATAAAACCTAAGCTTGCAATGCTTCCTCTCTCAGGAGCACAGGAACATTTCTTTTGAGCAGATACATTATGCATTCTTCTACGCCTGATAGCATATCTATCTCATTGGCTTTCCATGTAGGTTAAGACCACATGCATTTTTATTGGCTCTTCACTCACTTGCAGATTCTACACCTGCCCTTTCTAGCATACCTGCAGTCTTGTATCAGGCTCATCCTGTTCTTTGCTAAAATAAAAGTGCCAACCTCATCTTCTAACCAGCTGAATATATGGCATATTGAAATATCTCCTTAGATACCAAATTTAATAGGCTAACAATGTTTACTGGTATATATGCTTTTAAAAACTGAAAATATGGGTAGATTTAATTTGTGCCTTAACTTGGTTAAGCATTGCTTAGTAAATTTATTGGAAGTGAATTCAGAGTGCTTTGTATCAATCAGCTTTTCATAATGCCAAAGTTATTTTGATCAGACAGTTCTATTTGTGTGCAGCCAGTTCTCTAATGTCTATTCTGAAGTGAAAGGGAATTTTCCTGTCATTTTCTTTTTAACTGAAAAGAATTTCTAGTTTTATACCATTTAAAAATGTACCTTTTCTTATCCTTGTGGCAGGCCAAATCTTTCAGTTATATCATTGTGTAAAGTGTTTACTTGATTTTTCTATAAATAAACATTAGCTAGAAATTAATAAGTCAATCAGGAATTTTCTTTTGGAGAAAGCTTTAGTTTGGCTCACCAAAAAAAAAAAAAAAAAGGGCTTACTTTGAACTTCAGTGTAACAAAGTTCAGTGTTTTGTCACTTTGTACATCCGAAGGCTAATTCATATTTGATAAAAATAGTAACAATATTCAAGAGAAATCTGATCAAATACAACTTAGCGTGTGGCTGTATTTGTTCTCATGGTTATTAGTATTTTTCATATTCTAGACCAAAATTTATCTGTTTCAACAGTAAATATGAGATGAATGCGCACTATCTAGTTCCCAGTTAACTCTTTCTCCCAAACATCTCCAAAATTGCCAAATTTTTATTTCAAACTGCTCTGTCACCTTTCTTGATTTGATTAGTAGTTCTCAAAGTATTGTCCATGGACCTCTAGGAGGAAGTGTCCTAGAGAGTCCCCATAATTCTTTCAGGGAGTCTGTAAGTGAGCTCAAAACTGTTTTTATAATAATAATAATGATTATTTCTTGTGTTACCATTTTCTAATAGTGTGAATGAGATGGTAGGTAAAAGTACTGGCACCTTAGCATAAATCAAGGGAGTGGCTCCAAACTATGCTAGAGGTCTTCGTATGCTTCACTGCCATATACTTGCAATAAAAGTAAAGGCAGTTTCACTTAATTCCTTTGATGAAACAGTAATGGATTATTTTATCATCTTAATATTCTGTGTGATGAAATGGGAAATATACTTCAAGCATCTCGATTGTATACCACAGTACTTAGGGTAGTCTCCCAGAAAAACACTTGTATGATTATTTGAGTTGCAAGCTGAACTAGCTGCTTTTTTCATGAAACGCCATTTTTACTTGAAAGAACGAATGACAGACAAACTGTAGTTGTTCAGACTTGGTATTTGACAGATGCTTCTCAAAGTGAAATGTTAGCCTGTCACTTCAAGAAAAATAACTGACAGTTTTTGTCACTGATGACAACATTAGAGCCTTCAAGCAAAAATTAGAATTTTGGAAATCTTGTATCTGCCACTGTGAGCTTGACAGTTTTCCCAGTGCTTTAAGAGTGGCATCAACAAATGTATATATTGATATGTGTCAACATCGTGAACATCTGTATAACTCACGAAACAAGTATTTTTCAACTGACCAATGTTTGATATTACAAAATCATTTAAAGTGCAAATAGACTAATGGATATTACTGTAACAGTATGAAAAATTTATTGATATAGTTTCAGATTCCACTTTGCAGCTAACCTTCAAGAAAATACCATGTTTTGAACATTAGTGCAGTATCAAACATGAATATCTACAGTTACCCAAAAAAAGCTGTTAATGTTCTCTTTCCTTTTCAATATACATATTGAGGGCGGATTTTCTTAGTGTACTTCCTCTAAAAGAGATTATCACAACAGATTGACTACAGAAGCAGAAATGAAAATCAAGCCAGCCATTAAAGAGATTTGCAAAACTGTAAAACAATACTACTCTGGCCACTAAATTTCCTTTTTAAGAATATAAAGGGGTCCTGAGACCAATAAGGTTTGAGAACCACAGGGCCAGACTATAGAAAATTACTCTGTTCATCAGTTTCCGTATTTTAGTCAGGAAATTTTAGTATCTGTTTTCTTTCATAAACACGAACAAGAAGTTTTAAATGATATTTTATAGTATAAATTTAAGATTTCTCATCACTGACATTGACCACAGAATTTATAGTGTGCCTTTATTTTCCTAGCATGTTTATGTGCCTGACAGGAGGTCAATGCCCGCTGGCCTAACTTTACAGTCTGTTAGTCCCCAGAGTCTCCAAGGCAAAACGGTGAGTACGATATCTTTATTTACCACATCATGTTTTGTTTATGTGCTACACACGATAACACATATCTGACATAGCTTTTAGGTTTGAATTTTCAGAGTGGTACCTCCCAAGGAAAAACCATTACTATTTTTGCGGAAGAGATGCTCATGAGAAGAATTTGGAATCATGTAGCCATTTCAGAGTTTTATTGGATACCGCTCCCTAAATGTCTGAGTGCCTAAATGTAAGATAATATTCTCAAGGTTTAAATCCTGGGTGGGTTTCTTCATTGGATGTTAATTCTCTCATCCTTAAAACCCAAATTGAAGTTGTTCATTAGTGGAACATACCCAGCAAGCAGCCATGTGTAGTCAAACTCCAAGCCTATTAAGATGTTTTTCCTGTGGATTTTTAGATAGATTAACTACTTTAGAGTAGAAAAGAAACTGATTTACATATTTATGCAGAGAAGGAGACTATAAAAATACCAGTATCGGTTTCATTGTCAGTGTACAAATTGGGAAGGAGTTATAGTACCAGGACACCATTATTTTTCAAATGAAAGTGTAAAGATGACTTTTCATCACTTCATTTTATTTTAGTGGCATTCTTTTGTCAGAGGAACTATGCTTTAATATCAGTAGGAAGTTTCACTTTCTGTAAAGATGTGATTTGAAGACCTGTATAGTTGTTCCTTATTTAAAATACTCCCTGCAGTAATAAAAAATAATTCATCTTACATGTATTTTGCAAACATTCTTTCATTTCATCTTTCGTGTTTTACACGCTTAGATATAGGCAGATTTCTTGGTTTTAACCTACTTCCAGTTTATTTACTAAAGCTTATAAATATTGCTTGACTAAAACTAAAAATTTTAAATGGTTGGAATTTAAAAATTTTGATTGTTGATCTGGCAAAGAAACGAACATTGGTCATAAGATAAGGCTAAAGATTGTACTATGAAATTTTTTCTTCTGCTTTGCTCCCTCTGGTGGATATTTAGGATAAAATTTATTTAGCACCTACTTTTGAGGGTTCAAATGTACTTTATTTTGCTTCAAATTTTAAATATCTTATAAACTTACTGGAATTTTCACCCTTTTGAAAATTTCTATCTTTTTAATTCCATAAATAATAAACCAGAGTTTAAAGATTTCCTCATTTGGTACTTCTGTCAAATATTCACTCGGGATCTTAAAATATCTAAATTCCTTACTCTACCCTTCCATCTCCCTGGCTAGACATCAAGAGCTTAATACGATGATCAGAAGACATAGACTATCCCACAGTGACGAGGTTACAAGATGCGCATGACATCAGATCACAAGTCACTATTTTTCTGTTAACAAAATTTCTTTAAGTCATATACACGTTCTTTGACTATTTAAAAGAGGCTTGTCTCACCTATATAGATACTCAGTTTTACCTAAAGAATCCAGTAATTAACTCTGATTTACTTCTAACATTTTTTTTCTCACCCAAAGGCCAAAGATTTTAATGTAATTTCAAATAACAATTAAAAATGATTTCTGTTCCTAAAAAAAAATTATATGAAAATAAAAGAGCAACAGCAAATGAGCAGAACTGGAGAGCTAGTGTAATGCTATGGTGTAGACAAAACAAATCAATCTCAGGAATGGTTTTTGGCCTTGCAGTCTTAAGAGCATGCCGTAGCCCTTAGGTCTAACTAGAGTCTCCCTCTGGCCTGTCTGCAGTTTTTAATCATGACAAAGCTCAGAAAAACACCAAATAATATTTTATGGCCTATAAGCCAACAACCATACTCCACTGCATTGCTAACAGAAAAAAATTTATCAAATTGGCCTGTTAAAGAATTTTATCTACCTTTGAAATTTTCTTCCCCTTTGGGATCATGGAAACCAATAGGGAACCAGAAGGTTCTCTGCTTTCCCCAGAATGTGAAAGGAAGTTTATACAACCATGGAAATGTTCTGTGTATTAGACTTTTTTTTTTTAACATAGAAAGTCAAATCTGATCTTTTGGTCATATAAAATATCCTATGAGAGTACTAACAGTGGCATTTAAAAATATAACTGGAAAGCAATTAATAGATCCCAAGCACCGAGTTTAATGATAAAAAGATATCATCCAAATTTTACATGAATTTTAATTCTTTTTATCTACCTTCTGTTCTATAAAATAGAGTGTTGGACCTGCCAGTATTGTTCTGTTGGAATAAAAGTCTTAGGTGTCATTTTTAAACATCTTGTTAAAATACCTTTTAATAATCTTTTACTACATCTTATGTATAAACCTTTGTAATTTTTTTTTGGCGTTGTGTTGTTTTTTTATATTTAACATTTAAATTTTTCTCATGAGTTCTGAGAAAATGCCTTAATATACTGTTGTTTTGCTGTATCTTTTAAAGTAACACTGTTCCTTCTATTTCTCTAGATATCTATGCATTTATGTAGGACCTATCATCATAGTGCTTAGGCACTATGTTTGATGTCAACCATAAGAGGAAACTTGCCAAGAAATCTTGGTTTAATATCTATCACTTAAGACAACAATTAATCTGTTTTCCACTGTTTGGATTCTTAAATTGTACTCCTTCAGCCAGAGGAGCTTACGCTGCTGCTAATAAAGCTGAGACGGCAGCAAGCTGAACTGAGTAGTATCCGGGAGCATACGTTAGCACAGCTCATGCAGCTAAAACTTGAGGCCCACAGCCCAAAGGTCAGCTATGAAGAGATTTGTCTGTGTCATCTGCCATTGTCACTTACTTTGAGCCGCTCATTAATCAGTTTGATCAGTGCCATTAGTGTTGAGCATGAGCCCATGCCATCATTGCGACAGCATTGGAATCTCCTATTGACCCTTTGAGAATTCACTTGTTTATACTTTATTAAAGGAAAATATGGGTAGGATGCATTTCTTCTTAGCCTTCCACCCATCTACTCACCTGCCAACTTTTGGTTGTGAGGAAGAAAATGCATACAGACTTCAAAATATTGTCATCTACCAAATCCTGTAACTTACACATCTGGTAAAACAAATTGAAAAGTCTTACAATTTCTCCTAAAGTAGTAAGCTGAAAATTGATTATAGTTTTAATAATACTGTCTATTATATATCAAATATTAATTTTAAGATATTGCTTCTGTACTTGATTAAAAAGAATGAATGCATGTAAACATTTCTCAAAGGGTTAAATAGCCTCAGATTTTATAAGTAGCCAAAGAAGTAGTACTATGTTGCAGAAAAAGAATTAATTTGTAAAACTAACATTTGAGTCTACTGAAGCCATTGAAAAGATTTTTCTGCTTAATATTTTGGCTTATTATGTGCATGTCTACTTAATATCTTATAAATCTAAGTGTAATTTTATAATAATTTGATATGTCATATGAACCATTTACAGAGGAGCATGTATGTGAAAGTTGTCACATATTGTGGTATAATGGATAAAATGCCTGTTTTTCTTATTTCAAAATTGACTTTTTCATGAATTCTGCACCTCTTTCTCTATTCCTTTGTTTCTTGATTGATGCCTACTAGAATGAAATTCTTTCACATCATCTTCAAAGGAACACCATATATTTGGATCATCAGGTGGGATTTGTAGAATTTTCTTAACAATATAGTGTCTTAACATATAATTTCTTAACATAACACATAATAGAACTCTTTAAACGTAGTACGGTTTTTCAGGCTACTCAGATATTTCAATCATTTTGAGTTAATAGCATGACTTTTGTAAGTCACAGAATAAGAAATCCCTAACCAAGTAAATTCAGAAATACCATAAGCAGGTAGAAAGTAAGTTGTAGAGGTAAGGGAGGATACAAATGCTAGGTCACCTGAAAGTGAGAGCCTGAATTCTCTAGACTTCCTACTTATCCCAATAAAATTATTCATTGAGGCTTATCTCAGCTTGGAGTTGACCTCCTTTAAGAAATAGGCACCAGGCTGTGAATGCCTTATTGGAAGGCCAGGAGGGCAGGTGTAGTATGTTCTGTATTCCCAAAGGAGAGGGTAAAGATGGGTGAAATGTGTCACGAAGATAATTTTTAATTGTGTCCTTATTCCTTGTTTATTGTCTCCTTCCGTTATTTGGTCTTTGCTAAGCTACACAGAATCAGTTTTATGATGACCTACATTTTCTAGCATTACCTCAGTGGTGGCAACAATTGTGATTGGTTAAGGCATATGTTCAAAAGTGTGAATGACAGTTTGTGAACAAGAACTGACACTGCCATATTTTAGGTTTTATGAAGCTATTAATATTTCATTTTGTTGAGAATTTTTGATATGTTCTTCTACATAGAATTTCTTCCAGTGAATGCACTTTTTCACATAAATTAAGCTAAAACTTGTTTTATCTTGTTTTAAACTGTTTAAACTTGAATATTTTATCAAAGAGTTGACTGGAAAATGTTATAAGACAAATATTTGCATATTTATATTTGCCTATTTGAAACAATAATGTACTACTTTAATTTTTTTTATTTAAAGAGGGATTTTACATTGGGATAACCCTTTAAAAGATATTAAATCATTTTTCTTTTAATTTTTTTAAAAAAATGTTAGTTTATATAAAATTTATTTTCCCACAAAATGATTTCTTCATGATTTTGCCTATTGGAATGCTTTAGAAATCAGCATTTCATGAATTCAAATTCAGATCTTCATTCCAGAGACTGGTGCTATTGAAGTTTAATCACAGTGCGTATTATACACTTCGAAAGCAATCTAATGAAGACCCATTAGCCAATAAAATAATAAAATAAGTCTTCCCTCAAAATTCCGCACTGCCAGAAAACTACTAAGATACATGGAAAATAACTTTCTTAAAAGCTCCTTTGTCCGTAAGGCTAGAGATAGTTCTAGAAAACAATGGGATATTACAAAAATTAAATTTGAAAAATTATATAAACATGAATCTGAAGTTATCTAGAATGTCTGGAAATAATAGTGGTTACTGTAATTTATTATTCATCTCAATAATCAGAACTGGAATTGCAGAGACATAGAACTTTAGAAAGGAAAGGTAAATAAATCGAAAATACAATTATTTGCTAAGATGCTTCCCAGCTTTCTTTCCCAGGTTGAGCTCAGTTCCTTCCCTTTACCTAAGTGGCCCAGATCATGATTGAGGTTTATATTCCCATCATTCCTCTCTAAACATGCTTTGCTAAACCTTTCTTATTGCACCATGCTAGTGTTCCTAGAGGTAGCTTCTAAAAATCTCAACTTTTTATTTATTCTCTCTCTTTTCTTAACCTCAGCGGAGGATTTCCAATAGTTTACCTTTTTCCCATGTTAGAGTCTGAAATGAAGTTATATTATTTCAACTTTTAAATTTTGCAGTAATGAAAAGAATTACAAAATTTGCTTGCGTGCTAATTTGCTTTGAAATAACACTATTTATGAAGGCAAAAATTGGGCCATTTTTAGATAATAATTTGACAATATATAAAAAACATAGGGGAGGTAGAACTTTGCCCAGAAACTCAGATGTGCCTAAATCTATATTTCTAAGGTTTCCTAAAGAAAAATCTCTCTTTAAATAAAAAAAATTATGATTTCCAATAATTACATTTACTGTAAATAAAATATTTACTTTTGAACTGATTTATATTTTACAGCAGTAGTAAAGTTAAAAGTTACATAAAAAGAATTCTTGATAATTTTGATTTTAACGAGTTTTTATTTAGCTCAAACATTTCCAGCTTTTAATCTTGTTACTGCCAGTAACCTATTTTAAGTTACCAGGTGTTTTGATCTTATAAATATTATTGGTTACCTGGGTTTGTAAATCGATTGATCAGTTTTATATAACTACAAATTGGGAAATTTTAAAATCTTAAAGTCAAAGGAAAAGGCTCTGGTCATACTTTATACTATTTATTATACCAGATGAACTAGTACTAATTGATACTCACTTTCAACACTTTTTATCTGCTTGCTCTAATAAATCATCAGAATAGCCTAAGGCCCGCAACAAAGTGCAGTCTTCCTCCTGCCCCTTGTCAGGTACCGTAATCATCAAAAGACAATTTTTACTTGATTTCAGTTCTCTTAATCCTTATCACTATTCATGAAAAATAAAACCGAAGGGTAGTCTTTGAGTTGCTTCAGAGGTAAATTCATTTCTGATATTACTGGAATACCTATAACAAAAAATAAAGAAAATGCCTTATCTGAACTGAGGATTTACATATTACATAGTAAATCCGAAAATCTTGCTTTCTGGTGCCTATAACTTGAACAATATAATTTGGTTTCTAATTATCACCCGTATGAAGATGGGTCATGTACTGAAGTGTTTTTGTTTTTGTTTTTTTAAAATAACAAAACCTGTACAAATTACATGGTAGAATTTTCTTCTGCATTTTTCTTTTTTTCATTTTCATTCTCTTAAACTGTTTGTTTATGCTTTTATAGCTCAGCCAGTAGACTTATTCAAAGCCTTCATTTGTTAAGACTGGCATAGGATTATTTGTCATTTTTGTGAATTTCAAGATAATATATTTCCAAAGTATAATCTGTGAACATAGAATAATCCCAACTGTATACTTTATGTACCCCATCCAGGTTCTTAAAAAATGAATAAATACATAATACATCAGTAACTCATTTTCTTCTCATTCAGCTTAGTTATCACTGAATATTAGAGGAACTTCTGGTTACAGTAAATGAAACTTACAAATATCCTAAAATATATCTACGAAATGGATTTAGCCTTTATTAGCTTTTTTCTTGTTTATTCCTCTGCCTAACAGAATACAGAAGCGGGGGAGGGGAGGACCATAAGTAAAATTTGCTCTGGCTCTGTACCTCCCAGGGAGTTGGAAGTAAATTCGAGATTATCAGCATTTATAATGGTATCTCCTCTGAACAAGAGGAGTGTCCTGTTGCAGTTCTTTGAAAATGAGGGAAAAGAGAATATCTTGATATATTTTCTTTTTTCAAAATAGAGCAGATTACGGGTTTTAGAACTAGATGGCCCTGAAGAACAAGCATTTGCTGATTAGGTGGTCCTGATGTTTCCACAGAGCCAAATGTAAATCATTTGTTTGAAACCAAAGTAACAGATTTCCATAGAAACTTATTGTAGTCAACAATCAGATATTCAGCTGTAAGACACAGAAAGGGCCTACTGATTGTTTTGATTCCTTTACCCTTACTGGTTATGAAGTGTTTTTAGCAGTACCACTGGTGGTTAAATTCCCAGTCCAGGGCATAAAGGCTGTACTTAGCCCAAGACTATACCTAAAAACTGGACTAACAGTTTCAAACACCCTAACTGTATTAAGGAAAACATATTGTAGAAAACGTGTTCAGAGTACCCAGCCAGGATCTTAGGAACATATGTATATATCTTTGGCAGGTCTAACATTTGGAATAGGGACTTCAAGTTTCTTAATCTTGTCACTTGCAAAGATTTCCACCAGTGTCTAGTTCTTATCTTAGCTCTGGCAGCCTGGAGCAGGACTGGTTGGTCTAAGCAAGGTAAATGAAGTTGAGGTTTCAGAAACCAGACCAGGAGCTAAAGAGAGGTACTTGTAAAGTCCTCTCCATGGATGAAGCAGTGGAACAGAAGCTGGTGCTCTTTTGATGAGTCACGAAGGGAAGATTAATGAGAATGGGGAAATTAGAACGTGATTCCTAACCCCTTCATCTGTTTTCCTCACTCCTGTTTTAGTTCTTTCCTCTATTTGTTTCTTCTCCATTTTTCTAACCTTCCCTATTAGTGATTAAAGAGCAGTTATGAGGGACTTAAGATGATGTTCTCTTTTCCTTCTTCCTAAAACCTTTCCAGCTTTCCATGTTAGACAATGATAACAAAACGAGATGCTAAGAGATAGAGGTAGAGATGAACAGAGGATCAAGAAACTTGGAGCAAGCTTCACAGCCTTTTATGAGCATGCTGCCCCCTTGTGGGTAGACTAAACATATACCAACCCTCTTCTCTGTCCCCCAACCCTTTATAATTAATTATACCACTCCAGTAGCCAGCTACCCTCTTTAAGAATACTTGCTGCAGTAAATTGAGTGTAACTTCTACACTTCTACAGATCTGAGCTTCACCTTCACTGGTACTGTAGCAGGTATTTTTTTTTTTCGTCATTTGAATATAAAATTGTAATATTGAATGTGTTTTCACAAATTACCCTTAAAATTATGACATTCTGCCTTTACTCCTCTTCCCTTGAGAGTCAGTGTAGTTAATTGCATCAGAACCATCTGTATGAGAATGGGAAAAGGACATACCACGATTGGCCACACTTATGTTGGGGATTGCCTGTGCCCAATGTACTCATAAATTCTTTGGGAAAAGAATATCCCTCTGCTTCCATAATTTAATGAAATTCGTTTGCCTCTACCCAGCTGGAGCTATTTTCCCCAAGCTAGAACATACTTAAGTTGTTTCTGAACATATCATCAAATAGTATATTCTGTTAACCTAAAATAAACTACCTAAGTGAGAGGAAACGTTCATTTGAGATCAAAAAGAATTGCAATCTGGGGGCATAGATTCAGGCAAAAACCCAAATTATGGCTCGGTTATAGGATAAAGGCAATGGGGTTTTTATGAGAAAGGGAAA